CTTGCCTGGCAAGTGCAAGGGCCTGAGTTCAATCCTTGGTTTTGCCAAAAAAAAAAAAAAAAAAAGTCAATATAGTATGGAGATTCCTCCAAAAACTAAAACTAGAAATTCCATTTGACTCAGCTATTCATCTTGTAGGTATCAAAGACATCATGTTACAATTTACAAAGATACATGCATACCCATGTTTATATCAGCACAATTCACAATAGCTAAAGCTTAGAAGTGGCCCATGTGTCTATCAACAGATAAAAAAAATGTGGTACTTAGCACCACAGAGTACTACTATGCCATCTTTTAAAGAAAGATAAACGTGAGTCATTTGTAGGAAAATGGATGCCATTTTGATGTAGGGGAGCAAGGAAACTCACAATCTGACAGGTATCTGGGAGGAGTTCATGTTCTCTAAAACCAAAGAATGAATTTTAGGAACAAATGGGTTAAGAGCAGAATATATCTATTAGGGGAAGGAAAGCTCCTGTTCAAGAGAGGGACAGAAGGGGGCCCTGAGCGGGTTGTCCCCAGGAGGCTGTCTCTTCCAGGACTTTTATAGAGTAAAACCAAACAGGTCTGAAGAGGTGGAGAGCATGGGAACTCACATAGGTGGTCATGAGGTGGGACAAAACTATGGTCAACCAATGAGATTGCAAGCACCATTGATCAGGTAACATTGATTTAAGTCTGGGACCAAATGGGGAGGCGAGTCACGTAGTGAGTAGGCGTGAATATAAAACAGGAGTTTATCCAGTAGCCAGCTGATTGCGGATGGATTAGGGACTCTTCCTGGCTTCCTCAAGGTGATGATCAGTCCTGGATGCTTATCTTCAGGGAGGTAAGCATTTGTTTGATCTTTGGTCTCTAGGTCTGGCCCACAGCAGGAACATCCGTCTTGTCTCACAGTTGCAACGTATTTTGTCTTCTGTGCTGTCTCCTGTAGGGCCTAGTGCTGTCTGACTACCTCTAATATTTCTATCTAACTCGGCTGCCTGCAACAATTTGAGACCATAAATGTTCAGTGTAGTAAATCAGATACATAAGCTTAACTATCACTTGGTTTGTCTTAGATGAGAAACCCAAAGTAAAAATAAAGGACAAAATAAAAGAGAGAAACAGAGGGAGGGAGGGTACCAGGAGATGAAAAAAGGAAATTGGATGTGTTACGTGTGTGTACCAACTCCACACAAGGAATATAAACATGTATTGCAAACATGTACAAAAAAGAAGGAGATCCAGAGATGGGTGGAGAGGGGAAGAGGAAGGGAAACAGGATGAAAAAGTCATTAAGATGTGTTATGTATATGGGCCAACTTTGCATAAGACCTATAAACATTGTGTACTATACACATGTACTTAAAAAAATTAAAATAAAAAAATAGTTCTGAACCATTGCAGAAGGAATAATGAATCTATTAGGTTTGTTTTATAAATAAACATTTTATATCGTTCTTTTCATAAACTTTGTCCCTGTGTATACAGTGTAATAAAGGACATTATTGAGAGGCTGAATATCCTACTGGAACTGAAGTTACTATTTTTCTTAATGTTTGTAAGTTTGAGTTAAGGGCAATAAAATTGTATTTTATACTCTTTCATCTCTAGTGATGTTTTGTGTCAGTGTAAGAACCCAGTAACAAGGTCACAATGGAAGCATTGTAAATTTTTTTAAAAAATTAAAATATAGTAGCTGCAAGTCTCAAAGTGAAAGCCTAATTCACAGGGTGATAATTTAATGTGTCTACTTGTATGTTGAACCTATCTGAAAAATTATATACTTTATAAATAACAAGGCATCAAAAGCAAAATCATACCATAGGCCTAAGTCAGAAAATGTAAAAAAGATGGCAATATTTTTAGAGATGAGTGGTAAAATTGCATCCCCAAAGCCACTTATTCATTGCAAAATGCCAACACTGCAGTAAACCTGAATGAATACTGAGGTTTTAGTTTACAGAAAGCAGTTCATACATCAACAGCTTTCATCTTAAAAGAAAAAACAGGTAACGTGTGCCATAGAGTCACCATAGCTCTAAAGTGTTGGAGGAATTAAAATGCAAGTTAAGAGCTGAACCAAGGACTCTATAAATCTGACTTGACCTGCTTTGATAGAGAAACTTGGTAGCAGAATAAGGTCTGAGGTTTGTGTATTTTGTTTTCTGATTTTCAGTTTACTCCTAAAAACTCACTGTTCTGACTTTATTTTTTATTTTATTTTATTTTTTACTGTTCTGACTTTAAAAAACAGTTTAAACAGTAACTCACTGTTAAAAGCTAGGACTTTTAATGGAAAAAATGTACTCCCATTCCAGTCTCAAACTCCCAAATATTATTAAACAACAACAATAAAAATCAAACTTCAACACTAAGAATTTGCAAAAGGATTTATATAGTAACATATTAAGTCACTATACCTAGATAATTCATACTTAACAATTAGCAGAACTTCTTTCCTTCTACATATTTGAATCCTGAAATGTTTTTCTTCTACATAGCAATAAATACATGACATCACTAGTGGAATATTAGACAGCAGAATGCAAATGAAAAAGCAATACAAAAAATGTTACTGATAGAAAAACTGCCTGAGTGATGGGAGGAAGATGTGCTGAACCTTGGCACTATTTTCTCAAGAATTCTTGTGCTTTTCCTGCTCTGACCTGCTCTCACAGGGCTGCATTCCTTTGCCTGTGCAAAGGTGGCTTCTGGGTAGGTTTTACCAATGAGAAATCCTGGTGAGAGATAGAGATTGAGGGGTGGGGAGCAGGGAGAAGATAGGATCTTTCTTCTTCAGGGGATGCTTTGCAGTGATTCCATTATCTTCCTGAGAAACAACTGCTGCTGTGGTCCCTGCTGGCTCACCTTAGCCCTTGGGCTGAGAATTCCTTTTTTTCCTTTGACCCTTTAGGATTAAGGGGTTGTAGTCAGTCCCTGCCTTTGTGTGTGTGTGTGTGTGTGTGTGTGTGTGTGTGTGTGTGTGTGTGTGTGAATCTTGAAGTTGCCTCGCCACTCTGCTGCTAATGTCTTCTTTGTGTGAAACATTCATTGGGTTCAATTCCAATCATTGCAAAATACTGAAGAAGTGTCATCTGTTTTTCTGTTTAGACTGATACACTGTGGTGTTTGGTGGGTGAAGATAAAAAAGTATGAGCCTGCGAAGGGGTGAGTGAGATAGTAAATGCCTGTTATTCAAGTACCTTTAAATTGAATGTATTAGCACTCTGGTTGGCACTCAAGCATTACAAGTAGATAGTTGTGAAACAACGCTGAAGCCAGAGATAAAGCAACTGAAATTGGACAACTGTTTATATTTCTTCTGCTTCCAGTAACACTGTTCGTGATAACAAGATTACAATTATAATTATATTTTGGAGTGTGTAGATTCTGCTAGTGTCATGGTTATATACACATGATTGGTATTAAATTTTAAAGGTTTGGCATCAATTATCTGTTCTGTTTCTCCCTTTAATGGATTCTTGTTAAACAAAGCTTTTCTTCAAATACTTTTCTACTTATTCAGATGATGGTATGGGTTGAATTATGTCCTCCCTCCGAAAAATGTTGAAGTTCCAATCCCTGGTATCTAGGAATGTGAATTTATTTGGATATAAGATTTTTTAAAATGTAATTGAATTGAGGTCATACTGGATTAGTGTGGGCACTAATCCATTCGTTGTTTTTCTTACAAAAAGAAGAGAAGAGAGATGTAGGAGAATGTGATAGATCAAATAGAACCTGGAGTGATGAGTTTATTAGCAAAGGAATACCAAAGATTGCAAGGTAGCACCAGAAGTTAAGAAAAAGATGTGAAACAGATTGTCCCCTAGAATTTTCAGAAAGAGGAAGCTTGTCCCTGCTGACAACTGACACCTTCCCACCACAGCCATGGGAGAATAAATTTCTGTTGTTTAAAGGCACTTTGTGGTTTTTTGTTATAGGAGTCAAAGGAAAATAACATATGGTTTTACACAATGAAAGAAAGGATTTAATCATAATGCAAGACATGCCTTTTTTGTTATTGATATCAGGTAGTACTGGTCTTATAAAATAAGAACTCATCCTTTGATTTTTTTCTGGAAGAAGTTGTGTATTCTCTTTATTTTTAAGTTTTTTTTTTTTCTCTTTAAATTTCTGATAGAATTGTTGAGTGAACCAAGGCCTGGAGATTCCTTTCTTATGAGCCTTTAAATTATGAATTCAATTCCCTTAATCATAGGTTTATTCATATTACCTATTTTATCTTGTCTTGTTAGTTTTAGGTTTTTGAGGAATTGGTTCATTTTTCATATAGTGACAAATTGAAGCACAAAAAGTTGTTTACAGTGTTTATCTTTGGTGGGTGGAAGATTAATGTTGACATTCCTTAGCTTATTTATGATAATGGTGATTTGTATATTTTATTTTTATTAGTCTTGCTACTCTCATTTTCTTGATTTCTTTTTGACAACTGGCAATTGAACTCAGAGATTACTAAGATACCTACCCAGCTTTTTTTTTTTTTTTTTTTTTTTTGTTTTTTTTTTTTTTTTTTTTTAGGCAGGATCTTGCTATGTAGCCCAGACTGGTCTTGAATTCTTCTGCCTCAGCCTCTTGAGTGCTGGGATTATAGGCATGCACCACCATGTCTGGACTTGATTTCTTTTGAAGAACTAGATTTTTTTTATTCACTTTCTCATTTTCTAATTTTCAATTTCATTGATTTATTTTCTGATAAATATTATTCCCCCTTCTTGTTTTGGGTTTACGTCTTATAGTTTCTTGAGGGTAGGAACTTGGATAATTGTTTTGAGTCCTTTTCTTATTTCTAATATAAATTTTTCGTGCTATAAATTTCATTTTCAGCATTTCTGGAGGCTCATCTTCCACAATTTAATGTTATATTTTCATTTGTATTAATTTCTGTTTGTTTTAAAATTTGCTTTTAAATTTAATATTTAACCCAGAATTTATTTTTTTTATTTTTTTATTTTTTCAACCTTAAACAGGTTTAATTCAGTGTATGTATACTCTTTATTAGTGGGTAAATATTAGAAAATCATCTCTCAGTAGGTGCAGGCAGGGGCAGGCTGGGCTTGCCCAGCTGACTGGGGGTGAGCCCCTCAGGGGGCCCCGGAGTGGTCTGCAGTGTGAGGCTGTCCCGCCAGGGCTCGTACACCAGTGTGTAGCTCTCCGCCCTCTTGACAGTGAACTTGTAGGTGTGATTGGGCAGCAGGTTGTGGACTTCAAAGGTGCAGGCTGCTACAGGGATGACACCACACTGCATGCATTCCTGCTGTGTCCGCGGCTCCAACAGCTTGAAGCGCAGCTCAAACTGTTCCTGCACTGCTGGCTGGATGGTGACAAACCAGCGTAGGCTGACCCAGTCCCAGTGAGCCACCGACTCCTTCCGGTCAAACATGACCGGCATCTTGGTGCTCAGCATGAGCCTAATATGTGGGATTTTGGTGGCCCCAATGTCAGACACCAGCCGGTGCTTGATATGCAGGCGGCCCGGCACCATCATGGCCAGGAAGTTGTCCATGACGGCTGACAGGTCTGCCAGGCGCTGCTCCACGAGCCCCCAGCCAGCCAGGAAAGGCCGTGGGTCCGGCGACTCGAGCAGGGAGTCCAGCTCTAGGCGACCCCGGTCCAGCTGCTCCAGCAGATCCCCAAGCAGCAGGAGCTGGATCTTGGTCTGTGCAGTGCCCACCTTCTTCATGCGCTGGAACTTCCAAGGGTCAATGAGTTGAAACATGGTGTTGGGCAGCACCAGGGAGTTCTGGTCGCCCAGAGCCAGGTGCTTGGGGAGGATCTCGATATAGTAGGAGCACTTCTTAAGCAGCTGCATGCGGGCATGGTGGCGCCTGAGCAGGTGGGGACTCAGGTCTGAGGCCAGGAACTCTCGCAGGGTGTTGCGGCGCTCCGTGTAGGTGCTCCAAGCCTCTGGCTCCAGCAGTTGCTGATCCTCCACCTCTTCTCCCTCCTCTGTGTCCAGGAAGGGCTGTGGACTATCCAGCTTCATCTTGTCCAGGCCCAGGCCTGCCACCTGGAAGTTCATTGTCTGCGAGCTGGCTGGGAGGGCCTCGTCTCCTGAGCGTCCCTTAACCCAGAATTTAGAAGCATGTTATTTTCCACATATTTAGGAGCCTTTATAACTTGCCATTTTTTATTCCATTCCATTATAGTTAAAGAACAATCTTCTGTATGACTCCAATTTTTTTTTTTTTTTTTTGGTAGTACCCTGGATCCACCTTAGGACCTTGCGCTTGCCAAGCAAGCACTTACTCCACTGAGCTATCTCCCCGCCCCCTAGTTCAATTCTTTAAAGTTTGTTTTATGGCCAAGCATGTTGTTTATCTATGCTCCTTGACCACTTGAAAGCATATTCCATTGTTATTGGGTGATATGTTTTATATGTCAATTTGATCCTTTTGGTTGATTTTGCTAGTCAACTCTGTTGATTTCTGTCTAATATTTTTTGTCATTTGTTTAGTGTAGATTGTTGAAATTTCAATTGCAATTGTGACTTTGTCTGTTTTTCATTTCTTAGTATATTTTGAGGCTCTTTACTAAGATCATCTCTTTCTTTGTAGATCCTGCTGTGGCCCTCCATCCTGACTTTTTTTCTCCATCCCCTATCCCAAGGGCCTTGTATACACTAAGAAAGGGCTCTACTACTGAACCATATCTCTAGCCTTATCATTAAAAAACTTTCTAAAAGAATATTATATTCATGCTTCAATATTCATTATCTTTTAAAGAATAAGATTATTGAGCCATTCTTTATTTTTTGGGGCACATTATTGCCCTTACAGTTTTTTTTTAATTTTATTTATTTATTTATTTATTTATTTGTGTGTGTGTGTGTGTGTGTGTGTGTGGCCAGCTCAGCCCACCAGGGGGCGGGGCTGGCTGGCATGTGGTGCTGGGGGATTGAACCGCGGTCCCTGTGCTTTGCTAAGCTTGTTCTAAGTAGGTGCTTTAGACCACTGAGCCATCTCACCAGCCCCTGCCCTTACAGTTTTGAATGAATATTCTAGATCTCAGGGAACTAACCATTTTTTTGATGCTATTAACCATTTAATTAAATCAGGTGAAATTACTAAAGAAAAATCTATGATAAAAGAGCTCCTCGAATAAAATATACTTAAGTGGATGATTGATTAAAATACATTTGGGCACTCACATTCTGTTTTATAACATAAGTAGAAAGAAAAGGAGAGAGGTGCTGGGAAGCAAATATATTTGTACACTATGAGAGCTTATAATTGTGCTGACTTCCTCATTTTTATAGCTGAGCAGTCATATTATTTGCTGTAATAGTGTTTACGTATTTAATTTTATAATGTTTAATCTAAGAAGGACATGATAATCAATAAAAATCAGATTGTTAAAGGAAAGGGGGAGAACAGTAAATATATTAATTTGGCAAGCAAATGTCAAGTCATTCTTATTTCTAAGTACAATTTTAAATTAAAGTAGTTAGGGTTACTGAAAAAGTTGATAAAAACCTAAGGGAAGATTGGTAGTTTTCTGCTTAAACATGTTAGACAAGTATTTGTCTTTAGGTGATAATACTATTTTCGGTCTTTTAAGACAGGGTCTTGCTATGCAGTTTAGACTGGCCTTGAGCTCACTTTGTAGCCCAGGCTTGTCTCAAACTCTCAATGATCCTCCTGCCTCTGCCTCCCAAGTGTTGGGATTATAGGCATACACCACCACAATAGGTACTAATACCATTTAAGGAAATCTTATTTTATTTTGGTTCTATAAACAGTCAGTCAGGCAGAAAGAAGTAAGAGGAGACAGTAGTGAAAAGTATTAGTATATCTTTAGAATCTATGAAACAAATGTTGCCATCTCCCATTGTCCTCCTTTCTAGTAGCAAGTGCTGATAGAGAAAATGCCATGAAAATACTTCTGGTTCAGTGCTAAGAAAATGCATAGGATGAAATACTGTACCCTGGGAGAGCTGAGGAATGGTGCTAAAAATAAAGGAATTGTTCTAAAAGTTTGTACAATGACTGCTAAGCACCGACACCAATCCTAAAGAACACTCCTGGAATGGCAATGGAAGTTACAGTTTGTTCTGAGGAGGTCGAAACTTTAAAAGGAAGGGCCCAGGGAGAGGTTTTATGTCATTGGTGGCATGCCTTAGAAGGAGATATTGGGCCCCCACCCTTTTTTTGTATGTGGTACTGAGGATTGAACTCAGGACCCTGCGCTTGCCAGGCAAACGCTTATTCTACTGAGCTATCTCCGGGACCCCATGGGTCCCCACCCTTTATCTTCCTCTTTCTCTCTTTTTTGCTTCTTGACCATGAGATGAGTAGTTTTGCTTTACCATCACCTGCCACCCTCCCTGATGTGGTATTTCACCACAGACCCAAAGCAATCTCCAAAACTATGAGCCAAAATAAACCTATCCCTCTCCCTCTCTTCTTTTTCCCCTTTTCCCTTTCCACTTCTGCCTTCATCTTTTCTCCCTCCACCCCCTTCTCTCCCCTCTTCCCCCTATCTCTCCTGTCTGTTCCCATCTTCCTCCTTCACCCCTTTCCCTTTTTCTATTTTTCTTCCTTTGCTTCTCTTTCCACCTCTCCCTAACTCAGACTAAGGGCCTTGTACTGAGCTATATCCACAGCTTTCTGTGTTTGTCTGTCTGTCTGTCTGTCTGTCTGTCTATCTATCTATCTATCTATCTATCTATCTATCTATCTATCACCTATTTTTTAATTGTTTTTCCATCACTTATTTTTATTTATGGTCTCTGTACATAGCCTAGGCTGTCTTTCAACTCAGGATTCTACTTCCTTAGCCTCCAGAGTGCTACGATGCCACATGCCCAGCTTAAACAAGTTATAAAGTAAATGAGGAATATTGATGCTGCAGTTATGGCATGAAGAAGCGGTTGTATGGTCATTTGTAAGTGTCAAAGGTGAAAAGTGATGAAGTGCTGATCACAAATGGAAAAATGAAATCAAAGAGGGGGTGAGACAACTGGCTAGTATGTTTCCAGTATTGATATTCCATTTGAGGTAGATTCTTAAAAAGATACACAAAGAATCTTAAGATAACTGTAACATTTTAGTGCTCAGATTTTCAGTTTCAGCAGGGAAATGTGAAAAATACTGACAAACCTAGGGGAATGACTCAGTAATGAGCTATGCTCGATAATGGTCAATCATGGCCAACATTTAGCTTTGAAGGGCTGGAGCAATTGACATCACTGCTTTGATGCCTAGAATGTCCACAAGTCATTATGAGGGATTGAAGCTAAAAAATGTCACATAAGACTAAAAGTGAAATGTTGAAAATGATGAATGACAAGGATAAAACAGGCTTGTCTTCCTTTCCTCCTCCTTTTCCTTATCAACAGAGCACATCATCAATAACTCTTGAAAATATGCCCAGTTTTAGATATTAAACATGAGAGAAATATGACTTTCAAGTATGTATTATATATCACCAAAGACATATTTGCCTCAAGTACATTGTTTGCTTATTCAGAGAGCTTTTCCACCACACTTACTAATAACTACATTGGAAGTCTTATACGGTACACACTGGATTCCCACGTTATCTCCCTCAAACTTATGCAAATAATTAACTTTCCAAAAGATAAAAATGAAGGCAAATGCATTCCAGGTATGAGGTAAATGAGTAGTAATAAGGAATCACCATTGCTATATGGGTCAGCTTAGCAACTCTAAGCATAGTAGTCTTATTAGCCTTCCATATCCATGGGTTCCATATGTGTGGAGTCCATCAATCACAGGACTCCACAGAGTCTGTATTAAACATGTGCAGACTTTTTTCTTGCTATTCTATACTTGTCATTATTCCCTAAACACAGCATAATAGCTATTTACGTAGCATTTACATTGTAGTGGGTTAAACTAATCCAGAGATTATTTCAAATGTAGGAAAGACATGTAGTTTCTATCCAATTCCTCTATCATTGCATATGATGGACTTGAGCATCCCTTCATTCTTCTATCTTTAAGGGTGTTGGAACCAATCAATCCTTCAGCCACAACCTATGGGTACTAATAAGGAATCATACTCCTAAATACTATTTTAACCATAAATTGATAGCATATTACAAGTGAAAGAGAGCAACATCATGTAAGAGTGCTAAATTCTGTTATGAATTTATGAAGTAATAAAGTCTAAAAATGTGGCAGAAGGGCTGGGGAGATAGCTCAGCAGCGTAAATGCCTGCCGGGCAAGCATAAAGTTCTGAATTCAATCCCTGCTACCAAAAAAGTGCTGTAATCCCAGCATTTAGGAGACTGAGGCAGGAGGCTAACTGTGAGTTTGAGGCCAGCCTGGGCTGCATAGTGAGTTCAAGGGCACCCAGAACTGCATAGCAAGACGCTGTGTCAAAAACGATCTTGGGCTCAAGCTATCCTTTTGTCCCAGGCTCTTGAGTGGCTGAGATTATATGTTTGAACCACCACACCCTTTTTAATACTTGTATTTTTGTTGTCCAAATTTGTGAAAATTTTATTTCTATGTTCTTTTTTTTTTTTGTACTGGGGATTGAAACCAGGCCGTTCACACTAGTTATAACTTATTCCTTTTTAAAAATAATTTACTTTTAGACAGAGTCTTGCTGGTTTGATAAATTGCCCAACTGGGCTTATTTTTGTTTTCTTTCTCCAACTGGGCTTAAACCCGAGACTCTTCTGCTTCAGTCTCCCAGAGTGCTAGGATTATACATGTGTACTTACAGTGCTGCCTCCTTCTATACTTCATTTATTTTTTATGTTCCATCTGATTTGTCACAATCAGATGCAGCAGTAAGGATTATTTTTTGGTATATGTGGTAGTAAAATTAATACAGAATTATAAGTCATATCAATATATCAAAAAAGCAAAATGATGATATTAAGGAAACTTTGTATAAATCATAATATTGACCCCAACATGAAAGCAAACTAGGCTAAATAAGGTACATGATATAGTTGTTTTGAGATATGTAGATATCTTGTTAGAATAAGAAAAATAAAACCTTTGTTTTAAAATAAAACCTTCTATACTTGAAATCAAAGCCAGATTGACTGTGTTCTCCCAGAGTGTGG